CTTTACCTCTACCAACAGTGACTCCGCTTTACGACGAGTCTCTGTTTCATGCTCTACTCTGCGTTGCGCCTCTTTATAGTTGTGCCTGAGTAGCGTCAACTCCTTATCCGCCCTGCTAACTTCTTCGCGCAGCTCAGCCTCTCGACATGCCATCGTTTCCAATTGCGTGTTTAGTGCCTTCTGTCTCGATTCCATCGTCTCCACCTGCCGCCTCTCACGTTCCAGTAAATTTTCTAGCTGCGAAATCTTGATATCGTCGGTAGTACCATTGTTGACATGATTCTCAAGACCATCTACGGATTCCTTGCCGTAAGAAACCATTAGCTGGTAATCACCCGAGTAAGTGAATCCGATGAAAGGCAGATGATTTCCGGAAAAAGCTTTAGGTACTGGAAAACTCTCCTCTGGCCCATCCTCCTTGTCGACATCATCGAAATTGCTGGTATCATCGTCCCCGGAAAGTTCGGGCACTACCGGCGGTACACATTCCCTCAAATTGTCAAAGGTCCATTGATCATTCTTGAAAAATGGATGGCTTTTGATTTCGTCGACGCCATTGCGACCCAGGCGCTTTGTTCTATCGGTGAGGAAGCCACATATTAAGTTTTTCGCTGAGTGAGATATCTCAACATTTTGAGGGAAGTACAGCGAATTCCTGTGGTCCATGATCTTAGAATATGTGCCGACTAGAGAATCGGCAAAGAACGGTGTATCGCCAAACAACATCTCGTACAAAAAGACACCTACGGACCACCAGTCGCATTCGCGACCATATACTCCTTCTCCACCTTGTGACTGTAGAACCTCCGGGGATATGTAATCGGGTGTACCAACCGCAGTGTCAGATCGCACTAAACCATCCTACAAGACAAATAATTGAGAAAATATCAGAAAAAAAAAGATTTAACTAGAAAAAGAGAAAATTTAAATTTTTATTTATAACACACACACACACACACATTTCAAAGTCTTTTTTCAAACTTGCAAAAATTGTTATTTCTTTCATTAACAATAGAAGTACTTATTACAGAGAAGCTATTATATACAAAGTATTTCACGGGTTATCTTCATGTCGAGATCCGTAGAATGTCAATGTTTTATTAACACTGCAGTTTAAAAATACAAAATATTATATTAGGGCTACGAGCCAAAAAACAACTATTTATAAATACATATGTTTATTCAATCATACGTTTCAACCTCTCTCAGGTCATTCTCAGTGATCACATGAAATCTATAAAATGTCTACCATAATTAAATTCTAACTTTATGAATAATCTCTCATTACTATATAACAGATTTATAAAAACAATTCAATTTACAATTCGCACTGCAGTTTACTTCATATTAGCATCAGGGCTGTTCCTCGTCCTGATGAAGTGAACTGCAATGTGGACGAAACGTTGGCATTTTACTAATGATTTGTACACAAAGATAACTCTTACATAGCTTCTGTATAGAAAGCAATCGTGAAAATCTTAAAATAAATATTTATTTTGTTTTTAGTAAATCACAATTAGGATGCTTACACAAACATAAGTTATTTCATATTGGGTATTTAAAATGTAAAATAAAAATAAGAGATCTAGCACACTTACAGCATCCATCCTCATACACGTGCCAAAGTCGGCAAGTTTCAAATGGCCATGTCTATCGAGCAACATGTTGTCCGGTTTCACGTCTCTATGAACGAAACCCATATTATGTATCGCGTCCAATGCAAGCACCACTTCGGCACAGTAAAATTTTGCCCATTTCTCTGGTACTTCATAATTCGACATCAAGTTAACCAGATCCCCGCCCGGCATATAATCCATCACCATGTAGAGATACTTTTGGTCTTGGAACGCAAAGTGGAGCTGGACTATCCATGGTGAGTTTGCGTGAGCCATTATGTCTCTTTCTTCCCAAAAAAATGCGGAATCCGACCTTTTAATCTAAACAGATAGCGTAAAAGCCAGATACAAGGAAACATTTACACAACTTGGACAAACGAATGGAAACAAACGAGCAAGCGAATCTTACCATTTCAAATTTACTAAGTAATTTCATAGCGTAAACTTTTTGCGTAGATTTGTGTCTAACCAACTGCACCTCTCCGAACGCGCCGCGGCCAATTACTTTTATCAAAGTAAAATCGTCCATGCGCATTCGCATTTTAAAAATCTCTTGGGCTACAGAGTCATCTGTAAGGGAGAAAATAAGTCAATATTATTAATCTCGCAATCTCGATAACGCAGTTATTAAAGATTCCAAAAGCAAGTGAGTATCATGCTCGGGATAATAATACATTCTTGTTGCATACATTTTAGTTGATATAACCAGAAATTTAATTAAGATAACGAGAATTACATATATAAATTAAAATAAAAAGCCTTTGAGAGCCAATGCTGGTGATAACTTTAAGTTGTTTTTTCACTCCAAGTTTTAATGTATGCTGATGCAATAAGTTAGAGTAAAACAGATATAGTTTATTTCCCTCCAACTTATTGCATTAAGTCAGAACTCTTCAAAAAAGAACAGACCTCTTATCACCAAAGTAACCAAGGAGTGACGTCAATATCTGAATATAAAATATTCACATAACTTTGACTTAATATACTTGTGCAAAAATAAAAAGCAACTAACAAGCATTAAAATATAGTACTTACATCTATTCATATAAGCTTCTATATTCTTCATACGTTTCACGCTGGCATGATCGCAATCTGTTACCAGGGCTTGAACCGTGTCCAACAAGCAGTCGATATTCGTGACGCTTCTAGAATCCTTTATATTCTCCTCCAAAGCCCGCAGGCGTCTCCGCCTGTCCTCATCGCACACCGCATCCATCTCTCCTTACAGGAGTTTGGATTACTGTGCCTCAACAACGTACTGTTTCTGTCGCATTAAAGACTATCGAGATCTATTGTAAGGCTAAATGCAGTAATGACTCGAGAGAGGTGTAACTGCGACGTCCGATGAACGCTCCATACTTTCTAAACAAACAAATATTATAAATATAAGTATACAAACGTCAGATCTTTCTAGGTAATTATTCGTGCTTTCCAGCTAAGATACAGAGTGCTTTCCATTTGATAACATAAATCAATGCAAATGCCAGTCTATCTTTGTTATTCTCTGAATACCAAGAAAAATAGAATGATGCTTATATCGACTTATGTCACTAAATGAAAAACACTCCCTGTATAATAACACAGTAATCATACTTAGGTCTGTTTTCTGTAGCTAAACCATGCAGTGTACACTTTTGGAAGTAAAGTGAAATAAATATATATTTGATATTTGGCAAAAACGAGAAAGGAAGTTGTAATGCAGTCTAATGCAGGAAAAAAACAGACTCATTTCATATCTTTGTTTAACAGAAGTAAACAAGGATGTAATGATTCACTGTGTTATTACTGTGGGGATGTGTTCTGTTTTCACGCTCACAAGCTGTAAGTATCAATTCATCCTGTCTATCAAGCAAGAACAAATAATGCTTACAAACGCAAAACAGAACGCATTTTGCACTTGTGTCTTGGAAAGCACCCTATATAAACAATACATAAAATTCTAGACGCGTCGCATCACCGAGTTCACTTTACATATATTTTAATGACATAAAAATATTTCATAAAAACATCACGGATCGAGAGACACAAAAACGCGCGTTTATGCGGCTTGGCGATATTTTCAGTTCTTATGTAATATACAGGATATATGAAAGGGGGAACATATAACGTTATAGTGTTATTATAACGTCAAGGTAAAACAAATAACTGGAAATGCGTGACACGTAGACGTTCGCTGGACGTACCTCACACGATATATCCACGTAAACGTAGTATCTCGGAGCACGAGCTCGCGGCAAGGACGTTTCAGCGACGGCGTAGAGCGTAAAAATACGCGTGTCTCGTTCAACAGGGCAATGACTCATCCGCGCGTAATTTACGAGGCGACGATGATCCGCGCGCGTGCAACAAAGAGCGATCCCGACGTCCTCGAGAGTCGAGCGTGAGGGAGGTTACGTCAACGGCCGACCGGGCCAACGGTTTTACGGCGACACCGACACGTCGCGAACGTGTCAAAGGCGAGCGACACGCGCGCGCGGCGCGGTGCGACAAGCCTCGCCCTCGGCCCTCGGCCCTCGCCCGATTCCCTGTAATCCCTGTGGATCGGAGGACGCGAGCGCGATCGCATCACGATGGGATCGCGTCTCCCCGGGGAATCCAGGACAATCCAGGGCAATCGAGGCCAGGGAAATATCAAGCTCGCGGAGGTTCTCCTGCAACCTGCAACCACTGCGCCTGACTGCGCCGCGCTGTGTAGTCTGTAGGTCTGTACCTGGCTGTACCGGCGACGTACGGCGTACCGCCTACGTACTACGTACCTCACCTCATCGACGTCACCCTACGTCCCGTCGCTGGCAGGCACTGTCATCCAGACGAGAGAAATCCCCGGGAAGAAGATGCATTATTCCGCGAGGCGTACGGACGTACAGCTGAGCCGTGCGTGCGCCATTTCGCCAATTCTGGAGTATTTTGGCACTCTGGCCAATTCACAACGGTCGTTAAAAGTCACAGAAATTGAGAATCCGTCTCTCTTTCTTTCTCTCCTGCTTTCTTTTTTCGTCTTCTTTCTTGCTCCGTCTGTCTTTATCTCTTTCCTGCCTAGAACCCTCCAGTAACGCGCGCCGTTTCCGCGCAGACAAATCTTGACTGATCTTGACGAGCGGTCCTCTCGCAACGTCCCGTCCCGTCCCGTCACGCTCACGACGAGTCCGTGTCGTGCATGCGGTCCACAACGGACACCACGTTACGGCACTTCCGCGGCTTCGATTCCTCGCTTTCCGCCACTTTCCACGCCGCAGGATTATCGATCGCCGCGGTGAACGTGCTCGGTCTGAAAATCAGCCGGAGGAGGCTTTGCTTTGCGCGTTACCGCTAGCGGGTAGTGGGTACTGTACAGTGTACTACGGCCAAAGCGAAAGAGGGGAGCCAAAGCCAAAGGCGGAAGGCAGGGAGGGCGCGCAAGCACGTCGTTGACGTCGTTCGAGGTCGAGACTCGAGAACGGAGCAAGCGTCAATCGCTTCGAAAAGCGTCGGCAGGGTCGACAGTGTCGGCACTGGTCAGCACGGGCGACTGGGGCAACTGGGGGAAGGGAAAGTGGAGTCTTGAAAAGCTGGTAGTGGTGGCGACGACGACGACGACGACGACGACGATGCGAATCCGAATGGTGCAGAATGGTGCGATGGTGGGAACTCTCTCGGTCTAAGATGGCGTAGCGTTCTGCTACGACGCTAACGACGCATGAGTATCGGCGAGGTGAGTAGAGCTGAACATCAAGAACGATAACGACGAGGTCGTCTCCCGGGTGGAGTAACCGGCTGGCTGATTTTCCCACGCACCTCGCAGTGTTTCTCTCCCTCTTGGCTGTTACATGTTAATATTGTACGCTGTATTTATAGCGTTAACGGAAATAGGTGAGTACGTAACGTCATTGCGCGGGCCGCTTCCTGGCACGTGAGCCTCCGATTCATTCTCTGGTGACTTTCCTTTCACGTTCTAGCTCGAGTACATGTAACACACCGCGAAAATGAGTTTACCCTGCGACTGGCAGACCAGCAAGCAGAAACTGTCGGAGCGTGGCCAGCATCTGCTGGAGACTGGACAATGGTCTGACTGTAATTTCATTGTCGGCCAGGAACCCCAGCAACAGACTCTCAAGGGTCATAAACTGTTCCTGGCCATGTCCAGTCCGGTCTTCGAAGCTATGTTTTTTGGTGGTATGGCGGAGAAAAATGATCCGATACCAATAAGGGATGTTCAGCCTGAGGCATTCAAGGCCCTACTAGAGTATATATATACGGATAAAGTTGAACTTGGTTCCTTCGAATTGGCCTGCGAGTTATGTTACTGCGCCAAAAAATACATGCTGCCATCCTTGGTAGAAGAGTGTACAAAATATCTGTGGTGTGATCTCTCACCGAAGAAAGCATGCAGAGCATACGAGTTTGCCAAGCTTTTTGAGGAACCTGTCTTAATGGAGAAATGTCTACAAATCATACGCACCAAGACGGATCAAGTGTTGAAGGAAGCCAGCTGGGAAGATGTAGAGCTAGGGACTCTTCTTAAAGTTTTGGAGCAGGACGATTTGCAGATCAGCTCGGAGATAGAATTATTTACTGCGATGGAGCGATGGGCTAAATCGGAATGCTCTAGAAAGTCTCTTGACCCAACCAATGAAAAATGTCTGAAATCTGTCATTGGAAATGCCCTCTTAAAGATAAGATTTCTGAGCTTGACACCACAAGAATTTGCAGAAGGTCCCGGCTTGTCTCCTTTGCTTACAAAAGATGAGGCTTTCGCTATACTGATGAATATCCTGTGTACTGGCAATAAAACTATAATGCCTATGCCCGAAGGTTTTTGCACGAATTCAAATAGCAGAGCAAAACCAGTCAAGACTCACTCCACGAATCTTGGACAATCTATGGGAGTGTTTCCTGTAATAAATGTAAAGTTGTCATTTTTTTTCGCACTTTCATATACCTTTGCAAAAAATTAAATTATTTACAGTTCTTAAGATGTTTAGATTAGCAAATTATTAATATATTCTCTTAAGATGCTTATTAACATCAAAATTATTAAATTGCTTGTCAAATTTATATATTTACTTTGAAATATTTAAGCACTAAGTTTTGTTTTAACCGCGCGCGCGCGAAAATAGATTTATTTCTCTTAATTGTTTCATATTTTGTTTTCCTTTACTATTTTCATACTCTACATTTGTTGCTTGATACTCGTATATAGAACGGTAGTGAGTGATTACAATCCCGCTATTCTTAAAATCCCTCTATTCAGTTACTGTAAATTTAAATAGATTTCTTCTTTTGTTTTTACAAATATATTTCACACATTTATTACAGTAGAAATAAGAAATGTGTACACGCAACATTTCAATATTTTCCTCATTGGATCTATTTCTCTGTCTAGATGATGACTTCGAGACATATTTTTCCTCCGTACGGCAATTTAAATATTCCTGTACGTTCTGGCTTTCTAAATGATGGAGAATCTAGCAGCAGTACGATGCGGAACACATCGCCGATACTAGTGGATGCGAGCATAAATAAAGACTCTGGAAACTTGCCCAATACTTCTTCCACGGGAGTAGTTGTTCGCGAGGGACCAAAGTATTATTGTCTCAGATCGGTAGTTCAGCAAACGGATTGCTTGAATACGAACGTGTTGGACTGTTCCGTCACATTCAGTGTAGATAAAAATATTTGTGTGGTGGGTGTACAGGTTCCTACGCAAATCGCGGCGGTAAGCTAGAGATTATATACATATGTAATTTACTATATATATATATATCCGTCCAGTATATACCGCTCGTACATCTCACTCGTTTCATTTATAGGCGAGTAATTTCACTCACGCTATAGATGCCGATTCGTCTTATACTGAAATTTTATACGCCCATCTCCTCGATTGTGACGGTACCAGATTAACGTATACACATTTCACTACTAAAGCGAATTTTGGTACTCTCGTGGAAATCACTTTCAATCGACCAGTTTACATTCAAAAGCACAAGGTTTGTCATTACAATATAATTACTTTTTCCATTATGTATAATCAAATGTATCTCAAATTCATAAAACAATATCTTTTTGTATATTCTCAAACATCAAAGCTTCTCATTTGTAAAATATTTTTGATTGATAATTGTATTATATGTAGTATTTTCTTCTTAACAGGTTTATCGAGTTGGCGTCGTATTTAATAAGGCTGGATGGTATCCAGTAGGAGTTTGCGCCCAAAACATGTCCTGTGATTCTGTGTTCTTCTCGTTCGGTGTGGGCAATACTGCACATGCAGTTCGTGATGGTCTTATTCGATCCATAGTTTTCACATATCATTAACACAACGAAACAGGTGACAGATAAAAAATAGCATACCTAAGGTAGTTGACCCATTAATTGTCAGGGTATCAGTAATCGCCATGTTTACATATTAAAGACATACTTTAGTATTTTCTATTCATCGTGCAGTTTGTTGATATTTTTATTGGTTCCAACAAGGTATTTACAATGTTGTGTTACATTATGAAACTCGTAAGTATATGAATTCACTACAGATTAAATCGAATATGTGCAGCAACCGAGTCGATGCGTGATTTTGACCAAATGCTTCATTGTGAGGTTAAGAGACATCTCGTGTGATTTGGAATATTGGCAACTTGCGTGAGGTAAATTGAGCATCAAATTATAATTAAATCAAAATTGCAGTTTTACATACACCATCACAAATTATTGTTTCGTACAAATTTCATTTTTTTTTTCCGTGACGAGCACCGGTTCATCGAAGCATGTAGTCGTTCGAGTAATCGCCACACCTGTTGATGACTAAGACTAGATGACCCGAAAAAATTCTTGTAAATAAAATAATAATTTTATCCAAAATCCAAATAGAAAAATCAGAACCGTAATTGTTATTATCTAGAGATTTTACGGACCAGTAATCGTCATAGGCATAGTCAAGTTAATAAATAGATATGCAAACAAATAAAAAATGTCGATCACACTGGATCATTTCTATGTCGATAACTGGGTACGTCAGAGATAGACACTACTCGAATAAAAACTAAGTATTTACAATTCTTTTCTGTTGAAATAGTTATTAACAGTTTTATTGAAAATTTATAATAATGATAGTTCTAAAACAATAATCAAAATTATCTTTATTTTTTTGTAAAAATAAATGAATTTTATATATTTACTTACAGTGTTTATTCGTAATTTGATCCAAAAAGTACTTTAAGTGGAATGCTATTCAAATGCCTATTCTTAGTTTCTAATTTTTAATTATTATACTTATATATATATACACCAGGTGTACAAGTATGAAGTGTGGATTTGAGACAACAGAGATGGTGCACCAATGCAGTGTGTAGTATAAAGATTTGACGTATATGCCATTTTGTTGTGCCATCAACAAGTGTCAAGCGCATAAGTGATAAATTGAAAAAGTGTTTGCATAGTATTGTTTTGCTGTGTTCAATATGTCGAAATTTGTGCCAAATAAAGAGCATTCGCGGACAGCATTAATTTTTTGTTTTCATTTGAAGAAAACTGCTGCTGAATCATACCGATTACTTCGAGAAGCTTATGGTGAACATGCTCCATCGCAAGATACGTGTGAACGATGGTTTCAAAAGTAGTGATTTCAATGTTGTAGACTAGGAACACGGAAAACCGCCAAAAAGGTACGAAAACGTAGAATTGCAAGCATTGTTGGACGAGACGATTCACAAACAACTCACAGAGCAATTGAGCGTTATTCAACAAGCTGTTTCCAATCGCCTACGAGAGATGGGAAAGATTCAGAAAGTCGGCAGATGGATACCACATGAGTTGAACGAGAGGCAGATGGAGAGGCGCAAAAACACGTGAAATTTTGCTCGAACGATACAAAAGAAAGTCGTTTTTGCATCGTATTGTTACTGGGGATGAAAAGTGGATATATTTTGAGAATCCCAAGCGCAAAAAATCATGGATAGACCCAGACGCACCATCCACATCGACCGCAAGACCGAATCACTTTGGCAGGAAGACGATGTTCTGTGTTTGGTGAGACCAGAAGGGTGTGGTCTATTATGAGCTGTTAAAGCCTGCTGAAACGGTTAATACCAAACGCTACCAACAACAATTGATCGATTTGAACCGTCCGCTCGAAAAACGACCAGAATATCGAAAAAGGCAACACAAGATCATTTTTCTCCATGACAATGCTCCATCACATACGGCAAAATCGGTTCACGACACGTTGGAAGCACTCAGCTGGGAAGTTGCTAGCCCATACGGCTTACTCACCAGGCTTGGTTCCTTCCGATTATCACTTGTTTGCATCGATGGGTCACGCACTTGCTGAGCAACGTTTTGGTTCGTACGAAGATATGAAAAAAATGGCTCGATGAATGGTTCGCAAAAGGGGAAGATTTTTACTGGCGTGGTATCCACAAATTACCTGAAAAATGGGAAAAATGTATAACTAGCAATGGAGCATACTTTGAATAAACCACTTTTTATCATTCTTCCGAATTTAACGTTTTTTTTTTTT